TGTGAGGGGATACTCACCGGTGGTTGAACCCATTGCCGGAGCGGAACGGGCGCGTTGTGTGGGCTGGACGAATTTTCCATCCTCTCAAAGTTTCAGTTGACGGCCCAACGGCTGCGACCGGTCCCTTCCTCCTCTTGCTTTCTCCCTCCTTTTCAAACTCGTAAACTTCTTTCTTCGGTATTTCCGTAATTCCCCTCTGGCAATCTGAAAGACACAACTGGCGGTGTAATGACAAGTCTGCTCTGTCTCTGTGTGTGTTTGACGTGGACAAACGCGTCCCCCCCTGTGTGTGTGTGTGTGTGGTGTGTGTGTGAGAGAGAGAGTGGAGCTGTGGTTTGATAGCAACACACGGCACACGCACACACGCCACACGCACGCACACGACACACCGCAGGCCGTTGACCCGAAGCAGCCAAGGCCGGTGACCGTTCACGGAGACAGCAACGCGTTGCACGCGTCCCGGAATGAAAAAGCAATCGCACGTGGATGAGACGGGGCGAAGGTCACGTTGCACCTGCAAGGAAAAAAATAACCCGCCAAATAAATAAATAGAAAATAATAAATAGAATAAAGCAATAAAATAAATAAATAAACAATAAAATAAAAAATGCGCAGTTGCTCGCGACAATTAACGGCGGCGGTCAGGTGACCGATAGCGATGGATTGTCAATCAACGTTTATTTGAATGTTAGTCACCTAAACGCTTTAAGCTCAGCTGAAATCCGCTGTTTGCAGGGTTATTGTTGAAATATTATTATTAATTTATCACAAGGCTACAGCTATAAAAACCTGCTAGGTTAGCTAATATTCTACATTAGTGGAAGCAGACTAGTAGTTTAAAGTCAGTGGTGCAATATAACAAAGTACAATATAACAGTCTTGAGGTACTTGTACTTCACTTCAGTACACTCATTTTATTACATTTATCTACTTGATACTTGGAGTTTACTACATTTTAGAAGGAAAATATGTACTTTTCACTCCACTGCATTTCCTTGACAGCTGTACTTGAGATTGTACATACAAACTTATAATCAGTTTATTAAATTGCGATTCATTTTATTAAAATATATGCTGAAATATCTGCATACACAGTAATGCTTCAGTAAGCCAATAACATATAATAATATAATAGTGACTTTTATTTTGAGTTAATTTGGCTGATAATACCTCTGAATTTTTAATGTAATATTTTTAGTGCAATACTTTTATTTGTAATTGATTACTTTTTCTCTGTGGTAGGCCTATAGCACGTTTTTTAAATGTTTTTTCCACTATTGGTATTAAGCAGTATTTGTACCAGCAGAAAGAGTGACACTAGTGTATTGTACATACATGCTATCCACAAGGTTGGGATATGAGCTGCTGTATTTAGTTTAAATAATTAAATTCAATTGAATACTTTTATGATATTCTTACCCTTTTTATTTCGCCACAGAAAAGAACAGCAGAGATATATAGCGACATCTGGTGGTCAGTTTGTTACACATTTCTAATGAATTCACCTTTTCACTATTCACTATTTGTACCACTTCAATGTAGCCCACGTTTTTCTCCTCTGATCATGCAGTGCTCTTCTATGAACTCAGTGACTGAAGCAGATTTTGCACATATTATTGAAGCTTGCATAACACTGTGTGCTTCAGTAGTACATATAAAGAAGGTCAGTGACAAAACAGTGGTCTTTCTGTGGCTCTTTTTGCCGCTGAGATGCAACAGACTAACAGTGACTGTGAGAGACATCATTAATGAACAAAATAACACGTTCAGTTTGTTTTAGAAGCAACAGTTTTATTTTTAGCTGTGACTAAAGGAAAAAAAAAACAGTCGCCTCCTCAGAGTCTAAATGTTCACGTTCAGGATTAAAGTGCAGAATTGTTTTCACAGCTTGTGTACAAAATTAAATAGGACAAAAAAAAAAAAAAAAAGAAATATAATATTAAAATATCAAAACTGACAATGGAGATCTGGAAAATATAAATATACAGAACAAGATGAAATCTCATACAACTTAGTATCAGCAATGATATTCAATCCACTTGAATCAGGCTTGCACTTATGATACATTAAAAAAAGGAAATCAGTTCACGTTTTTCGAGTCGTTGGCAAGGCTAGCTTACAACAAAGGCACAGCATTGTTCAGAGGTAACGATCCTTTGCAAAGAAGTGCTGCGGCAACATTCTCATTGATCATCAACACGCCCTCACAGACACACCTAACATGCTCGACATGGCTCAGACAGGAATGGAGACAGAAACATGGCAGAAGCCACTCATGTACAGTGCATGCCCACGGACGAACACATCAACCAGGAGGGGCTTGTTTTACAGAAGCATATTTTGTTTTATCAGCCTATACATTGACACTGGTTACATGCTCTTTGTGTCTCACTGTTACTGTTGAGTGCTGCTTTCTCCTATTAAGCTGCTGAATTAACTGAATTGTGAAAGTAAGCTCCAGAAAAGTACGGCCCTGAGCCAAAAGAGTATGACGAGGAGGTGAAAGGTGAGACAGGCCAGTTTTTAAGTGCTCTATTATTGGAGAGACCAGCAATGGTTGCAGCCTCTGTGGGCATCACATATGAATCCAAGCAGAAACAACACAGGACATCATTCACAAATGACCAGTCTGTAGGCAGCAGGCAGAACTGGGACATCACATCCTCTTTGGTAGCAAAGACCAGAAAACTCTCCAAGTGGACATGGCGGTATTTAAATTTTGGTTTGAAAATACAAATATAATCATTATTTTTATTGACTTTACCTACAATAAGATCATTAAGGCTCCTGCCACAACTGTATTTAAAAGTTGCATCAAAATGCATCAAATAATCAGAAATTATTCCTCACATGGTCCAGTTTGCTATCAAGAGGATGAATTGCCCAGATCCCATTTGTTTTTTTTTACAGTTGAAAGGCTCTATCAGTGTCTTGCATTCATATATCAACCTGAACCAACATAATTTATTTCCTTATCACAAGTTAGCCCAAGAGAGGAAATTAACAAACATGGCTTCAACCAGCCATTTGGTAATATAGTGCAAATTAAAGTACTCAAATCTATACAAAAAGATTTCAGTGGTTATATATATAAAAAAACAGATGCTGTGTTTTTTTTTCTCATTTCATTTTTAACCTTCTTTCTCTGTTGACTATTTCTGTCTGTCATTCTTTGTTTTCTTATTTAAAATTACATAGTTTAGAGACAAAAACAGCTCAGTGTAGAAGCTGAACAGACCTAGCTAGTACATCATGCAGCTCGTGAAAACAACAGCAGGAAATTAAAAAAAAGAAGATTTTCAGTCTAGACAGAAAATGTGTGTAGAAGGTGCAAAGAGAGAAATTTGACAGTGGAAGAGATTATTTTCTGAGGAGTGCGCATATCTATGCAATGCACGCAGACAGAAGTAAGGACAGACGCATACATACAGTAGTATTTACAGCTAGCATTTACATGTAAACAAACAGTGGGTCATCCACCAGAGGAGAGACGCGTATGTGGACAGACAGCTGACATGATGAGGCAGTACCTGGTGATGTTATTCCCACACCTGAACTACTGTACAGTACATGAGACAAGAGTGAATAATTAACAACAGATTGATTGCCCTCAAAATTCACACATAATTAGAGTTGATCATAATATGCAGATCTAGTTCAGCAACTTGGATGTGATTACATGATCCAGAATTATAACAACATCTACTCCAGCACACCTCTGTGGGTACATGAACACTCCAAGATGACCAATCAAATGCTTGAGAAATACTTTTTGGATGAAGGGGAATGACAACTGTAACATTTACTGGGCTTGGACTGAGGGTAGGAGATATTTTTTGGTGATAAGATTCCTCTTATCTTAAATGCTAAAAGCCTGAAACTTGCCACAGTGGTGACAATGCAGAAAATAAACAAAACAATAAAGCTTTCTGCTGTGCCCTTTTAACTGCAGTCAATCTTAAGCTCTCCTTAATTTCAACTGGTCGGCCAATAAAAATATGGCAATGTAGCGTACGTATATAAAATATGTCTGTACATTTACAATATTTAAAACATTTACAGTGTCACCAGCTATGTACACTGGTATGTGATTTTAATGTATAAGATGCCACATCAATATGAATGAGATACGCTAACAGCTCTTAAAATCGGGAGACAATGTACCAAAATGTATGCAAAAGATGTGTACCTCAATGTAAAGTCAGTGCTACACAATAAATGAGGGAGAGGGGCGACGCCACAGACACATGTAGGTCTAGTGGTTTATGACCGAATGAGGTCAGAGGGACACGGCGAACCAGGATATGACCTGACAGCATTATTTACAGTCATGCACTCTTCAGCGAGCTATTTAAAGCTTTAAAAGGTTTTGTTTGACTTGTACAAGTGGACAGCAAGTTGATCTCAACCTTTGTGTCTTAAGCGACAGACGGAGCCCCTCTCCTTTGCAGGTCGCAAGTTCAGTTTTGAAAATCCAAACCAAAAGCAAAATCAAACCAAACTCACATAGAAACACCTGCTAACACATACTGCACAATGTACTCTGTAGAGGCCCGAAGTGAGGAGGCTGAAGGTTTGCATTATGCCTTGTTTTTTGGACTACTTTATGAATATACACACTACAGTAAGTACAGTAAGTATTCTTGAATGGAATGAGCGCTAAGGTTAAATCTACATGAATCAAGAGTTGAGTCATGATTTGAAAGTTGGGTCTGATTGCATATGACATGTTCCACTTTAGCTTCGGGTGCAGCAGAATCAAGCTATCGTTAATGTCTCTTGATTTGACTTTAAATGTGTGTGTGTGTGTGTGCATCTCGCACAGGTGGCTTTTCAGATCCACATTTTCCCCCTGAGTCTACTCATTAAGCCTGAGCCAGGCTACGCCCGCAGCTTCATACATGGAGGAGTATCTACACGGCCCCTCCAGCCACCGCACTGCCGGAGGCAGGCCATCGCTGCCCTTAAGGAGTTAACTCTCATTTCCCACTCATCCAGTCGTGTTTAGCCCTACTCAGGCTGTTCGGGGTGGGTGTGCAGGCCATTTTCAGGGCGTGTGATGCTGTGGTTCACCCAGAAGGCCTTGTGCAACTGGTCCAGTTCAGACACCAGGGGTAGACCAATGTCCAAGTGCATCTTCAGGTTCTCCAGCCACTCTTCTAGTTTGGAGAAAGGAGGCCTAAATATAAAGAAAAACAGAGATCTCAATTAAATACAACATAGACTTATTAGCCAGAATTATAAATACAAATATGTTTTTATGTCAGGTGAACAGTGTCCCTTTAGGTAACATTTCAATGTGAATTTATGGTAGATATCTGACCGTTTGTCTGCATCAAGCTCACAGCACACAGCAGCCACAGGGAAGAAGGCGGGGGGGCAATTTGGGGGACAGTAGTGCTCCAGGAAGCCAGATACGTTTAGTCCAAAGTCCATCGCCCTGGGGAGGTAGTCTGGGTCTGCATTCACCCTGCCAATTATCTGGAGAGGGCAAGAAAAACAAAAAGAGAAAAAAAGAGTTAAAGATAGAGCTGTCAGAGCAAAGGGAATCCTCCTGTGCCGATCTGATGAAAACCAGTAAACCCTCCAAACTGAAGCTGATCGTTCCCAACAGACCACATCTACCGTTTGTCTGCCTGTGAGTAGCCACATGAAGACAACTCTGCTTTTCTGCCCTCTCTAATCACGGTGTTATTCTCTGGCTAATGGTGTCCATCTGGGGAACTCAAATATGCTGAGCGACTGAGCTGAACTGTTGAGCCTGAATTATGTGGATGGTGTGTGGCTGGGCCCAAAGCTTACCACATTTCGGGCAGGGTTTTTAATTCAGAAAACAAATGCAAGACTTTTCCCTCATTAAATGAAATGGATGTTTTACAGCTAGTAGGAGGAGTTGAAATTTTGACAGATCAGAGAATTTCCAGAAAGCCTGTCAAAATGTTTAGTTTAGTCCACAGCAGCTTCACACAAATGAGAATCATAATCCTGAAGCTGAACCTGTGCTGGGAAAAGACTGTAAAAACAGTTTTCAGGTTGTGAACTTTGGCCAAATTCAATGAATATTAAAACTGTTAAATCCAGTCCAGAGGATTTTGAAGCAATTTTAATTCTGTCAATCAAACACTAACAGTATTTGTTTGTCTGAGGTTTTGTTAGTAGTGAGAGTGGAAGGTCACTCACCTCGCAGAGCATGATACCGAAGGAAAAGATGTCAACTCTCTCATCATAGCTCTTTCCTGGGAAGAGAAAAGAACAAAATTAGGCCGTTGTTATTGTTTGCCCATGTAATACATGTAATGAATATTCAGAAGGGATGCCACATATAGTCAACAACTGTAGCCCTGCAGTGACTTTTCTCTTGAGGTATCTGAGGAAGGCGTGACTGAGTTTAAATGAATAAATCAGTATCTTAATATTACTGATAAAAGGAGCAAACACACAAATTCAACTGTAGATCATACCATGGATCATCTCAGGAGCCATCCAGTAGGGGTTTCCCACCACGGTGTACCGCTTTCTGCGGTCTGGCTTCTTCAGGCCGGGCAGTTTACCCTGGGACAACTTCTCCTCGTGCTTGTCGTCCACCATGAGCCGAGACAGCCCGAAGTCTGCCACCACCACTGTGTTGTCCTGCACGAAGACAATGAAACGTGTCATAAAATGTCGCAGCATACATTCTGCCTAATATTACAAGAGAGAGTAAATTTTGTTTTCAACTAGTTTTAAGCTAATTTAGAAAAGCTTCAAATTCAACTTATTTCTCTTAGTGGGACCCTTCAGATGTGAGCTCTACTATACAATGCTTTTGTTGTCATGTGACACACGTACAATAGCTCTCTCTGTTTGAGCAGGATAAGCTGGAAGTTTCCGCTGCAAGTTACTTGTGTAACAGTGTGTTTTAAGAAGGCTTAGTCTGTTTTAGCTACTACTAACAAAGCTCTCTTTTGTTTTTATATCTGAAGTGCCTCAGCACATGACAGGTGCACTGTGTTAAATCCTGAAAGAAAACATACTGCATTATACACAGGTATGCCCACACACACACACACTCAAAGTGTACAGGAAATCACAAGTTCTTACTTCTCGAACAAGACAGTTGTGTGAGTTCAGATCCCGGTGGATTATGTTCATGGAATGCAGATACGTCTGGATGACAGATAGATAGACATATAGGAGAGGACAGAAAGGCAGGAGGAATAAAAAAAAAACAGAAGCTTTAGTGGTTATATAAAACCCATGCCAAGAGGAACAATCCTGCCTTGTTTAATCTGAAGTAGCTGCTGTTGTAAATACAATAATCCAGTCATGCATTACATTCATCATTGTACTCATATCAAGGGAAAACATTAAGAACCAATGGTCTAATCCTGCAGGAATTCATGCTGTAATTTCCATAGAGGGGGATGGAAAAGATTCTGCACATTATGAACAGGAGTGCTGTAGTCCACTAACACAACCACTAGAGGGAGATAACAGGAAGCAATGCACCTTCCTTTACTGCTGCATATCAAGGAATTATACTGTCTGATAAAGGAACTATTACAATTAAATGCACTTTTCAGTCTTTGAACTCACCATCCCAGCAGCTATGTCGTTGGCAAAACTGACTCGCATGTTCCAGGGATAGTTGATGTCCTGTGAGCAAAAATCACAATTAAATCTTCAGTTGCTGCTTATTACTTCTAACCAAAACTTCACATTATCAAACTGAAAGAAACTCCACCTGAGGCAATGCAAGATCAGACTATTCCCAATAATGCATTTTAAATACTGAACAGGAAGTTGGCACACCCACATTGTATCTCTGCGGTCACACACTCACCATTTTCTTGATGATTTCCCTCAAGGTGCCTCCCTTTATGTACTCTGCGATGAAGTTGAGTCTCTTGTCTTTGTAGAGGACTCCAATGAACTTGAGCACGTTGGGGTGATCCAGGCAACGCATGACCTTCACCTGATGAAACAAACGTCAGACATTTTTACACACACATGAACGCTGCTTTGGGATCATGGCTGCTTTGTTCACTTTTTAGGGAGGTTAACACTTTACAGTTAAATGTTAATGCTCAAGTTAGTACCATCTCACTATCAGCTGAGTTACTGTTAAAGCTTTACTTAGTATCAACCTCTCCACTGTTTGCAGCTATGTTTCTCACTAACCATCCCCGTACCACTGCTAACTCTAAGTGTAACCATTCTCTTAATTGTTAAAAAAAATGACTGAGTTAGCTATGTACTTTGGATACACTGATACCATAAAATTCATTAGCTTTGGGTAAACTAAACGTTCATTTGTTTTCTCGCTGTTAGATGAGAAGGTCAATAGCACTCTCAATAAATATAAAGCTATCACCAGCAGCCAGTTAACTTAGCTTAGCATAAAGACTGGAAACGGGGAACAGCTAGCCTGGCTCTGTCCGAAGGCAACAAAACCAGAGCAAATTAACATTTTATATCTTTGTTGTATCTGTACATAAACCAACATGGGAAAACAATAAGTTGTGTTTTACAGGTGGGGACTATTTCTTGTCTGGGAGCAGTCTCCGTGCTAAGCTAAGTAAACTGGTTACAGGTTATAGCTTCATATTTACTGTACGAAGAGTGGTATCGATCTCTTAACCTTGCTAAGAAAGCCAATACGTTTATTTTATAAAATGTCAAACTATTCTTCTAACTTCTAACAAATTCAATCATAAACTTGAAGCAGTTTGATGAAGCATACTGGCAGCTTAAGTGTACGTCCCAATGGGCTGGGGGAGCAAAGCTACACAGTACAAAGTTCGGTGTAAGAGGTTACAAGTAGTGTTCACAGCACTACTACCGTATGACACCTCATAAAGCATTCCCTCCCTGATGGCTGAGGAGGAGGAGCTGGGTCACTATTACAAACACATAAACCTGAAATATTACCCTTCAAGTCTCATGATGTCTTTGTCTGAAATGTTTGCCACATTCTTTGCTAAACTTCACCCGCGAGTCTGTGCAAGCAACAAAAAAAAGCTCACAAGAGACTCAGTGAAGTGAGACTTTGGCCACCTACAAACTAACAGCCACTGGGAGTAATAATCATACTTCATTGTGGTTGGGGTTTGTTTTATAGACCCTCTTTCTACTCTGTCGTCTACACCAATTACAAAGCAAAGACTCAGTGTTATTGTAACCTCAAAATAAATCTAACACCCCACGCATACATACACTCCACCATACGGGAACAATTTTGAGCTTTAAACATCCCAATTAGAAGGTTGTAAACTGGATGAGTGAGTCTGCGATACTTAACATCAAACAGGAACATCAAGAAAAAATAAATTCAAAGTTCAACAATAACTCAAAAAGTCTTACAGAAGTCTAAACTCCTGTGTCATTCTCTGTTATCTTTTATTCAAATTAATGGAAGGACAGAAGCCAGATGAAGTAAAATAAATTTTGCTTATCCATAGTTTTTGGGAGAAAGGACAGTGTTAACACTCCCTTTCGTCCTATTCAGAGGTAATTGTATGTCTTCTACTGTAATTTATTCAGGTGAGAGAACTCTTTTGTTTTATTCAGTCATGCCCTACATTCACATGGCGGAGATTCTAATTTTAACTACAATATTCGGCGTCTGGTCGTGTACAAAAAAAGCTTTTTAGGGTACTGGATAATCTCATTTTAACACTTGGACAAGCATCAAATCATCACTAATATCTGACAAAATCTGACTAAAATAATGTTTGTATTCAAGGAAGTGATTTATGAAAACTCTGATTGACATCAACACTTCATTTTCAGATTTCTTCAGATTCTTTGAGTAAATCTGACACTCTTTAACAATGTAACATCCGAGATCGCCCCTCTCCACTCACCTCTTTCAGGAAGGTTCTCTGTGTCTCGTCATCAAAGCGAATCAGCTCCTTCATCACCATCACCTCCCCTGTCTCCTTGTGTGTCACCTATTACAACACAGACAAATCAAGTTGAGCAACAATCTGGGTCTGAGGTTAACCAAGTGCAAGACATTTTCACTCCACTATGAGAAACAGAAAAACTTGTCTTATAACCACAAACATTTAACCTCCTGTCTGTCCACGTCTCTTACTTATCTCAGTCTTACTTGTCTCAATGCTGCCATCTTCTGGACAATGCAAATACGACTACATTTGTTCTCTAAAGTGTTGATGCATGCTGCACATGTACAGGCTGGTATGAAAATGTGCAAACAATGTCTGACCTTGATGGCCTGTCCAAAGCAGCCCTTCCCCAGCACCTCTCCATGGATGAGGTCAGATGGGCGGAAGATGCGGTGCGTCCGATTGGACACAACACGGAGCGACTCTGATCGATTGATGTCCTTCCTCTGGGAGATGGGGGACGCTGCATTGCTGGAGCCTGGAGACTTATCGATGCTGTAGCTCCGCCTGGAGGGTGAGAGGAAGAGAAAGAAGAGAGGGGAAAAGAGAGATGAAGAGGATACAGTGGAGGAGAGCAGAGTACTTGATTATCATTTACTGCTGCAATGACAACACTGGGAAATTTTTATCTAAGCTTATCTTTACTGGGCTTTTATTATTAGCTAGTCTATGAGCAGTTATCTATTTATGCTATAGGGCCATTGTTAACTAAATCTGTGAGTTTCTTACGTGATGATGCGGGATCTCAGGCAGCTGATGTCGGGGTTGGGGGGCTGTGTGATGGGCAGGATGGGGCTGGGGCCCTCTGACAGAGGGGTGGACAGGGGTCCGTCCACTTGCTCTTCAGCCTCAGAGGAGCCTACCTCCTGCCCCTGACTGTGGGGGTCGTGCTCGATGGTGAGCTGCAGCAGCCGGCTCGTCTCCTGGATCAGCAGGTCAATCTAGAGAAGTTCAAATGGTCAGTCCTCAACTAAAACAGCAGAGATTGCTCTTATAGCTGAAAGAATACTGGAAGTCTGTTGAAGTGCTTTACAGTGCAATGAGTAACATTGCATGAACTATAAGACTGAAAAGTTACTAGGAGGGATGAATATTTGACTTTCCTTTAACAAAAAACAAGTAACTTTTTGACAGTAAGTCAGTTACTGTATACTGTAAACCACCAACTAACTAAATAAATGTAAAGGTACATGTTGGCACCTTTCCCTCCTTCACCAGAGCTCAATTCAATACATTTACACTAAAGTAAAATACATCAGTAACTTAATGTGTCAGGGACAGTGTGGTGAATACCTCATCCAGAGGGACATTGTGAATGGGAGTCCCGTTGATCTCAAGGATCCTATCTCCAACATGAATGGAGTTTTTCACATCTGGACTGATGCATTCTGCGTCCACCCTGAATAAAGAAGAACAATAAGCAGAAAAAATGATAAAGAACTCTTCAAACACCTTTTCTGCACACACTGAAACGTTTCCTTTAAACACAGACCTGATCTGATAAAGTCTCAGCTCCTTTGAATAACAGTGACTACTTCTCATTTCCTTTTCCTTCCACTCTATTATTACATTTTAAATGAATCTCATCTATCACACTGTCCTCCATTTTTATTCTACCCTTCTTCATGCTTTGTCCTCCACCGTACTGACTTCTCCTAGTGTTCGTGTAGTCTCTCTTCTTCACACAATGAACACAAAGTATGCAAACACACGCACAGAAACACAGACAGACAGACTCACTGGGCGACTCTGACAGTGTGTCCGTGTTCAGGACTGTAGCCGTTGGTTGGGCTGAGTGGCTGGTCGATGGCCACAGAGAAACCGCGCCCTCTGCGTCCGTTGTTGCCCTCGGCAGTGGCTGGGATGGACACGAGTGTGACGGTGTGAGGGATTCGTGAGCATGGCGAGTCCGGCAGCGACACTGGGGTGACGATGGTCTGGTAGTAACAGTGACCACTGGAGCCAGAGAGCAAGAGGAGAAAAGGATGATATTAGTAGGGAAGGAAGGATGGGTGGAAAGGAGGAGGGGAGTACAGAAAATGGGAACCTTAGTGGGGTTTCTGGCTCTACAGCCATCCATGCAATCGTAAGAAAATGTCAAGTTCTCAAGTTACAAGTTTTTAAAGCATCACATGTTGTTGACAAGATGTTGCTTTAGTTTGTGAAAACACTGTGCTGTCATTGTTCAGATTTGAGGGTCAGCGTGACCTCTCACGTGTCACGTGTTAGTTTGGTTAACAAAAAAGACTATTTTTCTCCAAAAGAAGAATGCTGGGAATGTAAGGAGGACTCATGAAATAGCTATGAAATGATTCAAAACTAACACGCTGAAGATGAAGTAAAATTACCTTTTACACAACACAATTTACTCTCTCATTGTTGCTTCACCTCTATCAGACAAGCAATGCTGTTCTTGCCTGCCGTCCCCTGAGTTGACCCAATCTGGTAAACCTCTCAATAAAGGTGATGATCTGAGACAATCACACTGTCATCATCCACATCCACTCAGAGAAGAGGACAAAGGTTGCTCTGTCTGTATGCATCTCTGCATAATGCAGCTTCACATTGAACCCCTCTGTTTTTGAAGCCTCGGGCTGATGACACATTCACACAAACCTGTAGTTACACAAGTAAAGAACTACGTGAACCTTAAACATGTCTTGGACAAAAACGGTCTCCTCTGAATCCATTGTGTCTTAAACGATTTACCACTGTACATCTCTCTGTCACCAAATGTTAAAATAAATTGAGTTTCTATGTGTGCCTATTTGGCTGAAGAAATTTTAAATATAAAGCTCAAACATTTGTGTTGAAATTATAGTTGCTGTGAATTTTCATTGTGCATTTAGTCAGTTGTCACAGTTAGTCATAATGTTGACAACAAGTCCTTTGAAACCCAGAATAAAGCCCATGAATTTAAGAATATGTCAGTCAACTGTAGCTTTGGCTTCTTGTGCGTTTTTTGTGGTTTTGGTTACACTTCAAAGGGACTTCAAGTGGATTAGCTTGCTGTAGAAGAAGGAATTAACTATAAAAAAACTCCAAATAAAGAATGTAAAAAGAATAAAAGCGAACCACAATCTATGCAAGCTTTGATTTGCCCGTGGTAAAACATTAGGCCAATTAAAGACTGAAGAAACAAGGTTTACAGTCTGATTAGATTTTGACAGACGTGAGGCTCACCAGTAGAGTTTGGATCTCTCCACCAGAGCATATGTGTCTCCATCACCGATGAACGCCCTGCAGTTCAGACAGGTGAAGCATTCTGGATGATATTTCTGTTCCCCTGCAACCTGTTAGAGGAAAAGACACAGTTAAAAAGACATTCTGACTATTTGATACAATAGGATGTCAAAGGGATTGTTCTCTGATCTCTCACTGAAACACTCCAGGGCAGAAATCCACAACAGCGTTTTTGATCGTGACCGGAGAAACAGACAACATGAGGCTTTAATAACTGGTCGGAGAACTAGGGCGAGGTCTGGTCACTGAGGGTAATACTGAGAGCTGGGAGATTGAATTTGCTGCTGCCAGATCCCCCCTCCGGAGCTTAGGGCAGTTTTGCAAACAAGAGAGGGAATTGAGTTATGGCCAAAAAAACAGAGCCGGCAATGAGCAGATTAATCACACTGGCAGATCTGAGGATGATGCTGCCTCTGGAGGTTCCTCAGCTCTGGGTGTTCTTCAAACCAACGGGAGAAAACCAAACACTGTTAAAATGATCAGATAAATCGTACAAAAATAAAAAAGCAGCTGTGTATCGCTTCTCATCACCGTCCTCACCGCTGCTCATTAAATCTGTCCTTGCTTGTTGTGACTGATCGACAGAGAAATCGATGAAGTGGCCCACACCTCCACATATATCAATATCGACCCCCTTTTTTAACTCCTTCAGGTAATTTTGCGCCTATCGATGCAAATGACCCACCCACTCAAATACCTACTGACTTCTATGATTAAACATGAGCAAGTAAGTACGGAAGGTCGAGTCCACCAGAGCTGTTCGTTCCCCTGAGGCCGTGCTTGTGGTTTCATTTTATGCTTTGAGTGGCAGAAATGTTTTTTGGAGGGAGTGGGCCCCCTGACAGCACTGCAACGATCTGCAATGCTAATTCAGTATACCAGGAGTGAGGAGGGGCATTGTATGGTGGAGTGCTGAACAAAGAACAATCAATTAAATGTAAAGGGAAAACATAGATTTTGTGTAGAGTCATTTGCATAATAGTTCTTTAAAAAGGCACAGTTACGATATGTTATATTACATAATTCAGAGATCTCTGGATCACAAAAGTTTTAATAATATTAAAACAAACCAACATCGCATTAGAGAAAGATATGCGCTCCTGGATGCAGACACCGTTCTGAGATGCAGCCTTAAAAGTAGCTGGAAAATTAAAGAAAAACTCATTCATTGCCCCAAAGAGAGAAATACTTCTAAATGGTCCATAAATCTGAAACAAAACAGGGGGTGCAGAGACAAGAAGGAAGAAAAATGCGAAGATCAAAGAATCAATATAATCATTGCCTATTGCCATATGTCTGCTGCCCCACCCACCTAGAGAGCAGCAGTTAAACCACGAGCACACACAAACAGATAAACACATGCTAATGGCCCTCGGGCTGCAGGGAGGCAGACAATGTACAAGAATATTAATTATCTCCTTTTCAAGTAATTAATCTGAGCATATCCTTCCAGCTAAATATCAGGAGAACATGCCACCACTTGGCTTTTGATACACAGAGTAAGATAACTCTGACTTTACTGTATTTTCTGAGGA